ATTTTTTGTTCTGATGATGTACCAGGCCTTTCTTTAGAGCAGGGTTCTCAACCTCCTAATGCCGCGACCCTTTCATACGGTTCCTCATGTTGTGGTGACCCCCAACCGTAAAACTATTTTCGTTGCTACTCATCACTGTAATTTTGCTACTGTTATGAATCGGGCGACCCCTGTGAAAGCATTGTTTGACCTGAGAGGGGTCACAACCCACAGGTTGAGAACCATTGCTTTAGAGGCGCCTCTGGATGGACTCGAACCATTAGCCTTTTGTTTAGTAGCTGAGTGCTTAACTGTTCGTGCCACGCAGGGCTTAAGGTATGGGAAAATGTTTTACGTCAGGGTATACCTGTACATTTGAAAACGTGTTCAGCAGCAGATTTTCCTACAATAAGTAATAGGAACCAAAAACCAAACCAGACACTGCCATCCAGTTGATTCCAACTCAAAGCGACCCTATAGGCCATAGTAGAACTGTCCCTGTGGGTTTCCAGGGCTGTCACTCTCGACGAGAGTAGAAGCCTCATCTTTCTCCCAGAATAATAGGAAGGTGTTTTAAAATCCCATGCAATGTGTACGAAAAAATACCGAAAGCAAACCCGCGGCCATTGAGTCTGTTCAACTCCCAGTGACCCTTCGAGACAGGGCAGAACCGTCCCTTGGGGTTTCTGAGGCTGTAACACTTCACAGCAAAAGAAGATCTGGGGGCATGGAGCCTGAGAAACCAACGGTGCAGACCCACTGGGCTGCAAACTACAAGGTCAGCAGTTCAAAATCACCAGCTGCCTCACGGGAGAAAGACTGAGCTCTCTACTCTGGTAAAGAGTGACAGTCTCGGAAGCCCACGGGGGCAGCTCTACCCAGTCCTGTAGGGTCACTGTGAGTCGGCATCAACACTCCAAGACAGGGAGTTGGGTTGGGTTTTCCTTCCTAAATGTTGTTCACTCTATAGCCTATCAGAGTTGTTTTATAATAAGATGATGGGTAAAACTATTCTAAGAGTCTAACAACCAAAGAGATGCATAGCGTTGCCCCCACCCCCACCCCCCAGGACTGTCAGTCCATCTCGCAAAGTGTGGTCATTGTGTGAAAGAGAAGTTTGTTTCAAAAGCCAGCCGCCTGATGTGGGTTCCCAGGCATCCTGCCTGTGGTTGCCAATACAGAATGCTACCTCTAAGGGTAGAATCACTCTTGAAGATTCCGAGCCCGCTCCTTCGAAGAATCATGAGCTGTCTGCCGGCCTAGGTGTCTGGTGTGAATTCCCTCTGCAGATCCACCCACCTGCTGGATGGTTCTGAGGACCGGCCAGAGGGTTTGGGGACCGTTCAGGAGAAGTCAATGACGCTGAAAGAGACCTAGCACCCCGGATTTGGACTGGCTGAAGGCGGTAAGCATTTTGAAGTGTGGAGGAAGCCCACTCAAACACTAAGAGGGGCAGGGGACAGGTTGCCCCTGAAATTCTGCTGGCACCTGCTAGAGGGGGTGAGATTGAGGGGCCTGGTTTCCTTTCTCCTACTGGCTGGGGGCACTTTGTTCATTACAGGGTCTCACTCTAAGCTAGCTCATTTGCACTGGTCTGGCCTGAATTGAGTTGAAACTATTCACGGGGGTGGCAGGAGTGGGGGCTGAGTGCTTTCTTTAAAGTCATTCTCTTTGTGGTCCATTTCCCCAGGGAACTTTCAGAAGCCCCCTTGTATTCATTCTGCCACTTCAATGCATACTGAGCATAAGACGTGTCAAGAACAGTGTTGAAATACCATGAAGGTGCTTCGTGTCCGGGTGGCGTGGGAGTGGGGGTAAGCTTGGGCTTTAGGGAAAGAATGAGATTTGAACAGTTTTGAGTAGAACCAAGGTGAAAAAAAATGGGTACCCCAGATTTTACATGGGATGGGACACTCAGCTATTAGGAGGTGAGAACTTTGGCACTTCAAGCCACCATCTTTGATTAATTTCTCAGCAGAATTTCTCAATGCCCAAGTAGCCCTGAATTTCCCCTTGACCATAGGATATAGCAGGATCAGCCTGGGTTTCCATCCTCTAAAGCTGGGGCCAAAAAATATGGCCTGAAGCCAAATCTGGCGAATAAAGTTTTATTGGCACACTCTTAATGTCCACTCACTATGCACTGTCTATGCCTGCCTTCTCCATACACGGCAGGGCGTATAGTTGTAACAAACCATTAGGGCCTGAAAAGTCTAAAGTACTTTGACAGCAAAGCTTGCTGACCCCTAGTCTAATGTATAAGGAGCCTTAGTGGCCCAGTGGGTTAAGTGTTAGGTTACAAACCAAAAGGTTGACAGTTCCTTCCCACTAGCTGCTCTTCCGGGGAAACTTCAAGTTGTCTGCTTCCACTAAGGTTGACAACTTAGGAAACCCTGTTGAGCGGCTCTGCTCAGCCCTATAGGCTCACTAGGAGCTGGCATGGACTCCATGGAGTTAGGATTGTTTGTTTTGTAGTCTTAGCATAAGACGATTCTCACTTTTATTTTCCTTCTGAATTTTTGTCTTGAAAAGCTGTCCAATCTTCAGAGAAGTTGCAAGATTATTACAACAAACACCCATACAACCTTCTCCTTGACTTAACGCTTATGACGATTCTGCCACATAGCTTTTCTCTCTAATATCCCGATTCTGCCACATAGCTTTTCTCTCTAATATCCCCCCCCCCACCCCCACCCCGGTCTCTTCATGCGGACATGCACACACAAACACTTCTGTGGCTGCAGCATTTGCGAGTTTAATGCAGCTTGTACACTGGTGGCGTGGTCTGGTAAGCCTTGGGCTGCTAACAAGGTCTGTGGTTCGGGTCCTGGAGGGAGAAAGCTGCTGGGAGAGAAAGAAAGATGAGACTGTCTATCCCATAAAGGCTTACACAGCCACGGAAAGCCCTACACAGGGTCACTGTGAGTCAGACTCAAACTCGATGCCAATGAATGTGCTCCTGAATGGGTCGGGATAGATCTCCTGTTTCCCTCAAAATAAGGGCATTTCTACACAGCCACTGGCACTGAACACCGATTCATCCACCAGTC